ATAGCATGATAATGATGGCGGATAGAGGTAACGGCAGGACCACATTAGTATCCCTAGAAATTTCTGATTTAGTCGAGGCGAATCCTCCTCTGCTGTGCTCACTGAAGCTGGTGTCCCCCAAGGTGCTGTACTCTCCCCACTTCTCTTTTCCTTCTTCCTACATGACCTACCATCTTCAAGTGACATTAACTTTGTCAAATATGCTGATGACCTAACTGTATCTTTACCTGTCAAATGTCAAAGTGACTGCTCTAAACTAAATGGCTTTTTATCAGAAATCAGTCAATGGTCCAAGGAAAACAGTCTCACCTTAAACCCCTACAAATGCCAAGCAGCTAATTTCACCTTTAGGCACAAATCTGACCTAAACAAACTGGTTAGCACTCACGAGGTGTGCAACATAGATGGCACTGATATTGAAACCAAGTCGGAAATTAAATACCTAGGCGTCACTCTATCTTCTGATCTTTCCTGGTCGTCTCATATCTTGACGATTTCTAATAAAATATTCCGTCTTACCTTCTACATCAAGAAGTTAAGACATTCTGGTGTAACCCAACCCTTACTCCTACAATTTGTTAACTCCCGTATTCTGCCTATTATTCTCTATTGTTCCCCCTTAGTTTTTCCAGGGCTGGCTACTGAAGAAAGACTATACCTTATTACGCAGGATGTTAAAGGGTGTCAGAAGGGTAAGCCACAGAGGGCCACTTAACCAGCTTGTTAATATTCTGGTCAATTCTGTTAATATTCTGGACTTACGGGAAAAATGGGCTAAATCCATTTTATCTAACTCACAACACCCTCTTCATTCACAACTCTCCTCTTGTATCATCTCATCAGGGAAAACCAGAAGCCTATATAGGAAACTATATGCCCGCACTAGCAAGTACAAAAATTCATCCATACCCTAGCTCGTGTTCTGTGCGATAAAGAAAGCATTAGGCGTGAAACCTTTAACTTATTAAATAGTCAGTAGAACAAATGGATCTCGTCTTTCCAAATCACATCATTTACAGGTACAACGTTTTCTCTCTACTTTTTTCATTCTGTATTTATTTTTGTTATGTGCTGCTTTGTTTCTCTCTTCATTACAAACTCTACTTAAAACATTCTTGTTCGTTCTTTCACACTCTGTATACCTCGACCATTTTGCTATCGCTTACGCCAGTAAATATGCTAGTAGTATCTACTTTTCTAACACCTTAAAACACTGTTTAAATTTTGGCTTTGCTACCGACATGCTAATATGTTGTTGTCAAAACTGACTGAGATAACTTTAATCTGTGTAGAACTTTATTTATTGTTAACGTACTAACTGGATGCAATATTGTAGTAAAAATGCTGAGAATTCCATTCTGTATCACAAGTACTGATTTAGAATAAAGCTGTTATCTTATCTTATCTTGTAGTAATCAAGATTTTCTCTTTTCTGAAAATGATGGACAAATGTTAAGAGACCTTTAATGTAAGAGTAGAGTTTGGGCACTGTGATAGAGTATAATTCTATATGCTGCCATCACCCTTTGTTTGTCATTTTCCAGCTGACCAAATATGATTGCTCAAGCGAAAGACAAGCTAACTAGTTGTGCCTATTGTATGTGTATCTACAAATTTAGTTGCTCCTGTGGAGAAAACAATAGAGGGCGAAATACTAGACAACTTATCAAACGTATTAATAAGCATTCTTCTTTCGTGGTTCTGAAAAGGTCAAGTAAAATCCATAAGAAGTCTCATTTGATTGATGACAGCGGTCACCAAGTGGTGAGAAGTAGTACCTCCAAAGTTATCTAACTTTTCGAACCTGAGCTTTACACATAGCTGAAGCCATGGGAATCTGAGAGAAGAATCCTAGTCTTTGCATACAAACGAAGTTCATTCTACCTTTATTTCTCCCTTGCTTTACCTAGTTAAATTCTAATTGAAAAACCTCATCCCTTCTTATTTTCCACTTCTTTGGTAATTTTTATGACATTTATTTAAACCCTGATTATCTGTCCACTTCACCTCTAGTATTACGTAACTTTTAAGATTTGACCTAATTATAAATAAATTAGGTCAAATTGGTTTGTCTACATATACACATATTACTACCTTCGTTATCCTTATCGCCACCTGCTTAAACCTTGTATGCATTATTGTTGTTATCATTACAATCACTGTTATTACTGACGTTCAAAACATTAAACTTATTATTATTATTGTTTGATCCACAAATTTACCGTCATTGATTAAGTTTCATATGTATAAAACTACGTAAATCGAAATAAAGCCTGAAGATCTAATTGAAAACAGTTTTGTTCGCTTATATGCCTTGTTCTAATATACATATATAAGTTATGAAGTTGTGTGAACACATCGATACATTTATGAACAATGAGTTATGTGCTCGAAATGTCATCCAGTTTTTAGTAATTCATCACTGTGCGCTATACCAGACAAATTTATCTAATATGGTAAGAGATCTTCACTTTTATTTTCCTACTGTTATGTACTGTTCACGAATTCAAAGGGCTCATAATGCCAATTTCGGTACAAATATACAGCGTTCTCCTCTAAAGCTGGCAAAATCAACTGCCCAGTAAACTTTGATTGGCTATGAAATAATAATAATAATAATAGATATAAGAATAAAACTTGTGCACTGTGGTAGAGTGTAATTCCATTATGGGTAAATTTTGTTTTGATAAAGTCTCACGGTGCCCTCAATACATTTAACCCTACTCCGAAAATATGGTGGAGATATGTGGATGACACTTTCACAGTGTTAAAAACAGAACACATCTCTAGCTTCTTGACACATATAAACTCACAAGTTGAGGGAATAAAATTCACATTTGAATCAGAAAATGAACAAGGAGAATTAGCTATGTTAGATTGTAAGATAAAAAGAATAGAAGAAGGCAAACTACACACTAGTGTTTATAGAAAACCAACGCATTCTAATAGATATTTAGACTTTAATTCGTCTCATCCTTTAACTGTTAAGGCAGGCTTAGTCAAATGTTTAACAAACCAAGCAGTGGCACTAAGTAGCACAAAAAAAGATCTAAATGATGAATTAAAACAGATAGAAGAAGCGTTGGTGTTGAATAATTATCCTATAAAATTCATTAGGAAGATCATTAAAGGCCAAAAACAAAATAAAAATAATTGTGAAACTAGTAATAATAACGTAAATAAGAAAGAATATAAGTCATCCACAGTTATACCATATAAAGAGGGGACATCTGAGACACTACGTAGGATTCTGAATAAAATAGGAATTAGGGTGGCATTTAAACCTACAAACTCACTCAGGGACAAGCTCTGTAGGTTAAAGGACCCAGTTGACCCAATTAGACAAAATAATATTATTTACAAAATACCATGCAATGACTGTGAGGTCAACTACATAGGTTAAACTAGTAGGTCAGGGGTAGTCAGATGGTCAGAGCATAAGAATTTAGCTAAGGTAAGAATGGTTGACCCCGAGAAGATAAGTAATTTAGAAAAAAGCTCAGCAATTGCAATGCATGCACTAACACACAACCACACAATAGGGTGGGAGAGGGTTAAAATTCTAAAAAGTAATCTAGGTAGGTGGAGAGAGAGGTTGATTACTGAATCCTTGTTCATCGAGTCTACACCCAACACATGCAATAGGAATGACTCGTCGCTCCTACCTGAAATATGGAAAATATTACTACCAATCAAATCAAGTGAAAAATAATGGAACTATATAAATGAATTTAGAAAGTCGTGTGATTACCTTGATATGATTATGAGGGGTAATCAATTGTGCTCGAAACGTCATCAGTAAACATTACTGTATAACACTGTGAGACTTTATCAAAACAAAATTTACCCATAATGGTATAATAATAATAATCAGAGAAACCAAATAATAACAGTCAGTACCTTTGGCCAGGAGAAGTTGAGATTAATTATGGAAGATCTACAGATCTTCAGAAAAATAACATTTCTCTGCAGTATTACAGCGTTTGAAAATACCTAGGATTTATGCATATTCCCAGCAAAAGGCAAATGATTTCTGATAATTATAACAGTTAACTGTGAATAGCATAAAAGTATGTATGAATTAGACATATGTATAAACTACATCTATGTGAATCTCAGCAATACTAAAATAAATAATTTCAACGTTTTCATGTGAACTGTGATCAAGATTTGACCGGATAGTTGCAAAATAATTGAGCGCCGAGTGAAAAGTGGACATTTATAAAATTATATTTGTAAAATCTCCCCGAAATTGAAATGATTAATTCCAACGTTTCGTTCGGCAATCTCGTCCGAACTTCTTCAGGGAAATTAATCAAAATTAACATAACAAAGGTTTATATATATATAAAAGGAACATCTCTTGTTTTTGACCACAGCTCATTCAATTTTTGTTTATTATACCTGTTGATACCTGTTTCATACGACAGGACAAACAATTTAAAAACAAGAGATATCCTTTTATGTATAAACATTCAATTTTGTTTACTAATTTTGAATGTCTGAGGTCAAATTTTGATCCCACTTCATGCACATTTGTTCATTAAATTTTGATGACTGTTTCATGGTTCATGATTGGACAAAGTTTCAAAAACAAGAGATGTTCCTTTTTTATATAAACCTCTGTTATGTGAATTTCGATTAATTTCCCTGAAGAAGTTCGGATGAGATTGCCGAACGAAACGTTGGAATTAATCATTTCAATTTCGCTGAGATTTTACAAATATAATTTTATAAATTCCAACGTTTCTTCCGGTGATATTGATCGGAACTTCCTTGGAGAAACTCTGGAATCATTTATCATTCAGATTTACAAAGGTGTAATTGATACATATATCTACTGTTTAACCTGTGCCCAGTGTTAGTGAAACTGTTAGGTCACACCTTGATCAGAGTTCATATAAATCTATAAATTAGTTTTAAAAATAATCAAAATTTTATTTAATAATGATTGACTAAATGTTATAACTTATTTTTTCTTAAAAAATTCAGATACTCACATTTATATAAGAACTACACGACATAACGAAGAGTAGCACTATAAAGTATTCCTGTGTATTCTATTTTTGAGGACACTTTTCAATGTTTCACTTGGAAGAATCGTGTACATTTGTTTAAATGTATGCGCATAGGTGTAGGTATGCATTTAAATATATTTCCTTATTTATTTTGACGGCATGAAATATACTGGGAGAGACAGAGAAAAAAAAGGAGTAACTACAAATTTAAGAAACATTCTACATTTCTCTAAGTACACAAAACAAAACAAAAAAAATACCTTTACTTCGCCTGTCTTCATGTCACATATACCTACCTTTATTCTCGACAAAATAGTTTTTCATTTGACCAATCAACTTAAAATATTATCACTAGACTAAGAATATAGAGCACAATATTTTCAAACATGTTTCTTTCCACAGAATTTTTCTATAACCTTAAATATTTTCAAAATCTTGTCTCTTTTTGCTTTTCTTCAACAGTGTTTAATTTCAGCTGAGGATAGTTAGTCATTGCGTATTCATATAATAAAATTACCACATAGTATCAAAATTCAGACACATCATTGCAAGATAATGCTTTAATACAAATGTGAATAAATGTATGAAGCGAAGACTAACGTCTGTATTTACAGACAAGTTTTAAGCATCGCTATCCAAGTAATAAATTTGCGGTACAGTTGTCCATTTAGATGAATTATTACAACTGAAAATATGGCATATGTATTTTAGGGTTGATTTCCTTATGAATGGATGTCAAGTGTACGAACCGTGATTTCTTTTCGCTTCGAGACCTTTCAGAAGTGAGCAATCATAACCTAGTGAGTAGCCTTGTTCAGAATCACCAGGCTATGAGGTCATCACATCACTATTCAGCTTATGCTTTCGAACGTTTGCTATTTAGCAATCTAGCGTCATTTCCATCCCTCATAGGATCGCAAGTGTGCATTGCTGAAGAGTCTAAAATATCCAGAAGCAGTTGTCCATCTCTCGTAGTATTCTGCAACTGATCTCCCAAATAGTACAGCTTTATGATCAAATCCACCTTGAAACCAGTCAGTTCTGAATAAATTTAATAAAATTCATTTGAAGTTGAGTCTTGGAGTTGAACAACTTATGTTGGAAATTTGTACACCGTTGAAAGATGAATCTAAAGGAGGACAGTACTGGATGATATTTCGAGGCAGTACTTTTGGTTTACACAGTAAAACTGACGCAGTCTTGAATTCAGCATGTCTCTAAAAAACTTGAATGTGAAGTATTTTCTAGTTGAGATGTTAAAGAGTTTACTGAAGATGCGTTTTGGCAAAAATTCATCTCTTCATATTTTACAAATGTAGACCCTGTCTCACTCAACAAAGTAGTGAGAATAAAATTAAATGTTGATCATAATAATGCTGAGAATGTTACCAACGGCAACGAATGCCCTGATACAATGGGAAGCGATCTGGTCCAAGATAATGACCTCCAGATTCAGCACAAAAGGTTGAGAGTAACAGTTATACATTGCTATGCACCCACAAACAACTAAGACCCAAAAAAAGAGTTCTATAGGCAACTACAGGCAACAATGGACAATACTTTAGTCGGTGGCACAAAAATTCTGACGGGTGACATGAATGCCAAACCTAGACTAGACAGCACAGGAAAAGAACTCATTATGTGTCGAGAAGCAGATGTGGAGCCATGTGAAAACGTTTGTAGGGAACCGAACGCAAAGGAAACGCACGACTGAAACCCTAGGTTCCTCTAGGAACTAAAGGAAACAGTAATAATAATAATAAGAAGAAATGGGGACAAAAAGGTTCTCAGTGTTGTTTCTAATGTTGGGAAACATTTAAGATCAGAATATGATCACCTCTTTAAAAAAGTGAAGATGTTTGGATTTTTGAAGGGAGAAACATCTTCAGTCAGGAAGCCACCAAGCTGTTTTCACACAGAAATAAATAAAATGAACTCTGATAAGGCTAACATCGATGTGCATCGGTGGCACAGTGGTTAGGACTCTCGCCGACCATGCACATGGTCTGAGGTTCGATCCCCTGCCGACGCACACCTGATATCTATGGTCGGCCTGCAAAATTCGGGCTACCGATATCCATGCTGAAAATTCCATACTTGTACCAAAAATACAGTGTGGAATCAAGCTGTAATCAAAAAAAATAAATAAAAAAAATAAAATCAGGGCACACTTGTTTTAGTAATTTAGTGATGATTCGTGCATAGTAACTAGATAATGTGTCTGCTAGAATTCAGTTTCAGAAATAAGATGAAACTGAATACCAGTAATTTTCCAATAATGGTCCACGAACAACTTCTTAGCTAATTCCTCTGTAACTACCCCTGTTTTTTTTGTAGTGATGCAGTCAAGGCTATGTAAAATTTTTGTTATGATTTTATATACTGCAGACTGACTGAGATGAGTAATCGCATACTTCTGACATCAACCAGCAGTGCCTGTTAGTGAAATTGAAGTGATGTAACCACTGGACGCCTGTTTCACTTGCTTTGTGCCGAGCTCATCAGAGGTGTTGTCAGGTGGTCCACAACAGAAAACTCAGCGAGACGTTTGAACTGAATACAGGAGTAAGATAAGGTTGCCTTCCTATTATTACCGGTCGTATTCTTAATTGTGGTGGACTGGATTATGCGGAAGACTGTGCATGGGAGCAAGAAGACAGGAATACGTTGGATCGACAAAAAGACTCTAGATGATCGGGATTTCGCGCGTGGATGATTTATGTTTATTGTCACTCATACTCGATAACTTGTGGGTGAAAACCAACAAACTGGCTGAAGAAACCAGTTGGAAAATCTTCTGTACACCGCCTCAGCATAAACAGCAAGATTTGAATTTTCAACACACACGTTAAGTCAGGCATTTTTTCTATACGAATTAGAAACTTGCACCACGTGTCACGAGAAACATTTCCAACAAGTTACAGACATTTTCCAACGGCTGTCTTCTCTGGCCCCCTACTGAAGATCAAATGACCAGCTGGTCAGAAGGAGTTAATAACAAGAAACTCTGACTGGGATCAAACTAACCAAGAACCTACTGTTCAACAAATATGTAGGATAAAATGGAGATGCAGAGGGCACACGTTGAGGAGGCCGTCGAATGTCATCGCAGGCCAGTCCATCGCTCTAGTGGAATCCCAGTGGGAAGCGATGAGAAGGTCGTCGGTGTGAGGGTGACATGGGAGAGTTCGTGCGAGGAGGAGATGAGAGATTTTGAGCAGTCGTGGACCCAGCTGAAGAGCATAAATATAAATGGTGCTGTGTACTGCTGATTGATTGGGATGAATAGTTGAATATCACTGCAAATTCAAATTTCAGTGAGTTAGAATTAACCAATGGATTCAGAGAACAAATTGACTGTTGCTTAGATTTATGCTATTAAATAAAGAAAAATGCTAACTTTGCTTACAGAATCTTGAATTTATTTTATTTTTAAATAGTGAAAAAGTGTGTGAACGTTTTGTTGCAGAGATGTATACTAGTTCCGAAATGAATAATGTATATATACGGAACTAGATTGCTGAGAAGAGATTTGAGGAGTCGAGGTAATACATACAATCGAAGTGGAATTGATAGTGTTCTCTGAGCTCCTTGGTTTAATTGCGGAGCTCAGAGAACACTATCAATTCCAAATCATCCACCTGAGTTACAAATCTTTTCTATTATACAATCGAAGTGTCAGAGCATTAGTACAAGAAGTATGTTTAAAGAAATTGATTGAAAAAGAGAGTGCAGCCACTTTATGAGATCAGATACTGAGATTTATGTTAAATATATTCTTCCATATAGTTCAAATAATGTTGTTAGAGGAATTAGTGGCTTGTCGTCCTCAGCATTTCTCTTATCATATTTACGAACACTTATTTAACTTTTCAGGTAAAATTATGTGTAATCACAGGTTAGAAATTACCGTTTGCAATGTGAGTAGCGAGTCGCTTCATTGATGAGTAGAGATTTAGACATTTTAATTTTTGTAATTTATGTTCAAGATGATTCTATCACTTCCGAATTAGCTCTGTTTAATTGGTCGCTACTCGTCTTGATAAAATGCATGCATATCAATATTCTGCATGATGTCATTTCAGGTATAGAGATATAGTTTGTCCAATAGATTAACGTACCAACTTAATGGATTACCTAACGAAGATTGTTTTCAACAGTTTGGAAGCATTGTAAAAATACTCCAGCCATTTTTGACTGACACAAGAAATTCCACAGTCCTGTATGTATAAACGTAGTGTTTACCTATTTTTGGGGATTTTACGAGTTCATAGAATGCAGTCATGCAGTGAAATATAATTATCATTTATGATACGATCATCAGTAATAAAATGCATCCAAAATGTTACAGATTGAATAATATCGTTTCGGTGTGTAATGCACTTGATAAGCATACTAATGAAGAATATTTATCTTACTGAATCGTCAAACTTTATTGAATGTAACATCTAAAGTAACGTCAAAATGCGAAATTCATTCTCGTCTCATTTCTTGTATTTCTGGCCCATTTTTCGCAGTTTTCATATCAATATATACATATATATATATATTGGCGAACCAAGTTTTATCACTTAGTTGATTGGAGGCGATGGGTAGGAAACTCTGGACCTAGGTTTCGTGCTAGTTGGCAATCACCAGTCAGCAAGGCGCATCTGAAACCTTGGAGGAATTCATGTCCCTCCTGAGACTTGAACCCGCGTCACCTCTTCCTGCCGATTGCCTCCAACTATCTAATATCATCAAAACAATGTGCACCGTGATGGAGAGGTACCTAGAATAGTGGCCACATTACAGACTCCCATTTGCTGCAGTCATTGATGTTACCACTGAGCTATTAGGGTTCGTGACTCACCTCCTGTAGGACCGTATTGGATACTTGTAACTAGTGTAGTGTATCTAGTCCTTTGTTTGGTGCAGACTGAATTCTGTCAGTCAGGTTCGCAATGTGGCCACTATTCTAGGTGGATCACCATCAGTCATCAAACAAAGGATTACACGCACTGCAC